ACTTATGGAATCACAAATAAAGCAGAATTATATTATGTAAAACGACGCAGAGAAAAAAATAAATTAATAAAACATACTTAGTTTTTACATGAAACTTGTAACATGTAAAACTATATTTTTATTACATATAATAACCTATATTTTATAATTTGTATTACAGTACTATTACAAATTGAAACAATTTTTCATGTATATTACTTTGCTGGTATACATTTGTATTTCACTTGTTGAACTTCACATGTTAAATATGGATTAACATCTTCTAACATAAAACAGGTTAAATCAAATGCTGCAGAACCATAAAAATTTGTTACAGTTAGTTTCTTTAAATTGGGCATCCTATATAATGCTTCTAAACCTCTCTCTGTTACATTTTCACATTCTGATATATCCAGATGTTCTAACGTAGGATATTCTGCAGATATTTTATCCAAAGCCCAATCATCTATTGTATTACAACCTCTAAAACTAAGCTTTCTTAGGTAATAAAGATCAAAAATGAAATGAAGATGTTTATATCGTAGAGGATATCCATTTAAATCCAATTCTTCTAAAATATAGGTTGCATCATATTCATTTGGCAATTCAGAAATCTCACGTTCTTTACTTTTATCTAGCCACTCACTATGATTTTTAAACTTTACTTTACCATCATATTCTATAACAAACTTAGCTGCTGCCAAATCTGGTCCTAATCTAACATACTGTTTGTATTGATAATCTTCATACAATTGTGCCCACTGATCTTTTTTATGTCGCCACCAATGTTTTAAATTAAATGTTGTAAAGTCATAGAGGTTAGGTACATCTGTTTTGAATAATAGTTTTTTCGGTGCGATTCCTTTACGTTGGTTTACGTCCTTTATTGGTTCCGTTCCAACAATAACATGTCGTTTACGTAAATATCGTATGAAATGATTGATAGCTTCATAATTATTGTAGAATGAACGTGTAACATTAATTTGTAATGAATTGCAAACAGTTCTGCATTCCAAAATTTGTTTAAATTTGTTAATATGTGTATAACGCTGAAGTAACATTTTCTGAATTTACATTTGTCATATAAATTTTGTATACTCTCCTTTCTTGCGAATAAATATTACCGATTAATCAACTTGATCTAAAATATGTATACAATCAATTGAGCATACATTCAAGAATTGTCTTTTGGCTTTTGCTAACATTTAAAATTATTTAATCAAGCACGTATACGAAACACCAGAGAATTGCAACGACTTTACCGAAACCCTAGAACTAATGCAAATGCACAACGGCGCTGGTTTTATGTGAAATGGCGTATGATGCGCAAGCGGCGTGCGAAAGAATCCTTTTGTCGTCAGCTGTTCAACAGTCAGCTTTGAAGTGGCTATCAATAAATAAATTTGTATTATGAAGAAGAAACAATATTTTGTTTAAAATTCAATACATA